TATGCATACAGTACAGTTGAGGTCAAATGTTATGATTAATCTGAAAAATTTCTTTATTTATTATTAATTATATAATTATTTTACCAAAATAAGAGAGATTACACAAATGTATGTTTATGTAAGAACAGACTTCAATATATTTCAGATAAAATAGAAGATAATATTGGGATTACAAATTCCCCTATATGAATTGTATATACTTGGTTATAATGATTCTTAACCCTGTTAAAACTTACACATGAACAAATAGTCATAATATTCAGATTTTTTTTGGAGCTGAAATGTTTATTAATCCTTCTATCAGGATCCATTTTCATACCATATAGATGTTTTTATAATTGTATTATGTATCATATTGACATATCAGGCCTTTTGGTAACTTTAAATTAATTTTAGTTACAAAAAAAAGTTTGCCAATAAAGTTTTGATAAAATAGAACATTTTAGGCAGGTTGTTATTGTTATGTTTTAGTTTACACTAAACATTTGAAAGTCTTTTTATTCCACCTTGTGAGAGGTGTAATAGAAGTTTCAGACAATTGTTAATGCAAAGACAGTCCTTACACCTAGCATATGAGAAGTGATTGCATTTTTGTGTTCTTTTGCGCTTTAGGACTCCCATCCTTTTGTTTTCACAAATATACAAAAAGTACAGAAGCAAGGCACGTCAAGGTGCTTTAATCATTTAGTAAGGAAATTAAAATTGAGAAGAAATTTGGGTTGGGATGAGATGTAATTCATTGTGACTTAACATGTTTAGTGTAATTATACTTTTACTACTTCATACTATTTCAGTTGTGTTCAGAAATGCGAATGTATTTGTTTGAATCATGCTGATGAGGAAAAAATATCTTTAATATATTGATGGAAAATTTTAGCACTATCACTTGACTGTTATAAAATATTGTTGGATTAGTGGTAGTGGGGTGCAAAACTTGAACCCGCATACCCCTCAATAAATGTGTAGTTGCGCCCCTGGATGGATGAATGGATGGATGGATGGATGGATGGATGGATGGATGGATGGATGGATGGAATGACTGATTAAACGACAGAGTTCTCAACTCAACCCAGGAGCAGGCCTGCGCCAGGAAGTCAAAACTGAGGGGGCACTTTAAATCCATAGGGGGGCACTAGACCTGGTGACTGATTTTGGTCTCTTGTTTCTTTCATTTAGGCTATTTATTCGCATTTATTATTACTTTGCATTACTGCCTAAGTTACTGAAGGCAGTAATATAGGCTACGTTTTAATAGTAATAGCAATACGCAGTTTCGCTATTACGAATTTTATTAACGATGGTAATGCATACCGCTTATTAATGCCGACGGATGATGGCTTCAGTGCCAAACGAGTGCTTTAAATCATATGTTATTCTCCTTATTTCCGTTTTATTTCAAATAACAGCCCTATGAATGTTTAAAGTTTTAGGTAAAGACGTCAAATTATGCCCACACATGCAAGCTGACCCACGATCAGACAATTCATTTAACTGGTAAATAAATCTAGTGAAATCAGCTTAACCGAGTCATCACGCTTCACAACCAACATCAGTGTTGGGGAAAAGCTAAATGTGACAATCTAATGTCATTCAAAACAATTACTTGGTTACATTTTAAGGCATTAGTGTAGCCAGAAAAATACCTAAAAAAGATACCAAAATTCTCAGTTATTACCGTGAAAATTGGTTAAATTTTTATATGCTATATAACTTTTTTTCATCATTTTAAATGTAAAAACAAAGATTTGTCTAAGGCTATTATAAATGTGCTTTTTTCGTGATATTGTAAACCATCATAAACCTTATGTACCATAATTTCTAGGCCTACCCGTCATTTTATTTATTAATTTATTTATTTATTAGGCCTTTTTTAATAGCTTTTTTTCAGGTTATTTTCATTTTAGGGCCATGAGCTAAGTCAAAACAAACTCGATATGTTGTATTTTAGCTCTTAAAACAGATCTACAATATATTTTATGTTGTTTAATTTTGCATGAGCAAATAGCAGTATAGCCTAGTTGCATATTTTTAAAAGATTATCATTCTGCCTACCTGCAGCGCACGAGATTTCTCGGTTGATCCGCGGTAAATCCACTTAAGCACTATACCTATTCCATTTATAACACTGCAAACTTGACTTCGCAGGCCGATCATCTTTAAACGCAAAAGGCATTTATTATGTGTTATACCTTGACTGCAGTTGCATAATGGGATGTTTCTCTACGCAACTGTAAAAGTGCACTTTTCAGCAAAATGAAAGCAAACATTTAAAGGGTTCTGCGTTTTGTCAATTTTAGCTTAATTGTAATAATATTAATAATAATATTAATAAATAAATTAAAATATTATTTATAGTGTAGCCTACTGTGAGACTGTGCAGTAAACTATTTATTTTTATTAAAACATTTTTATAGGCTACATCTTCCCGAATAACTAATAAATGACTGGCAGTTGCGTCTCTGCTAAAATTAATTTAACAGCAAGTTTCTTATGTGTTTTTTTCCTTTTAGAGCTCAAGAGAGTTGTGTTTAAATAATTAGTTAACCAAAACATGTAATGAATTAAGCTGCTCCTATCATGTCACCCATTTTCTCCCTTGTGAGTTGAGTGCGCCTCCATCGCCGTGTGCGCGTTTTAAAGGCTATTTACGGGCGCACCAGACCTGACGCGGGGACCGGATCTCTGGACTATAGGACTAGCTTTAACCTCACCATTTTCATAATTTAATTGCTATGTCATATATTTTAAAATATTTAAATGTGTGTTCTGAAGGTTGGAAGGACGGGAGTGTTAATAATTAATGACAGAAATAATTTTCAGTTTGAGTGAACAATCCTTTATAAAAACTGGGGCGGCACAAACTCTGTCTGAGGGGGCAATGCCACCCTTTGCCCCCCCGTAGCGCCGGGCCTGCCCAGGAGTGACCGGGGCGGACATGCCGTACACCCTACTAATAATACTGCAGACTAAGGGGACACGTGTAAAGACCTTATCACCTCTGGCTCGTGAGGAAATATCGTTTTGTACTTTGAATATTTCTTAGCGATATTATTAGACGGTAGTTTAAGTGCACGCGCACGGCGCAATGCTCCGCTCGCGCAGTGGCTCGTCGAGCCGTTCTGAGTGACGTCATGAGCCGGGTGTTTGACGGGGTGGCTCGGCTGCCGCAGAGCTCGAGAAATATGACCGACAATGACCTCGACGGCAATGTGCGTTAATGTTTTGCTCTCATCGTTTTGTACTCAGTTTATGCAATAAAGTGGCTTTATTATTGCCGTCGCTGTTGTTATAGCCGTTTTCAGGTTAAATCTGTGCATTTGCTGTAGGTCATTAGCAACGAGCCTTTCCTTATCTCGAGAGTGCGATAGACACATTCAGCGCGCGCCTGTGTGTGTGTTTGAGTCTCGCCTCCAGCCTTACCGGAGACGCGCGTTGTGCACTGAAATATGGATAAGGCCAAATCAGTGATGGATCAGAAAGGATCGAGTCCTTGCTACCAAAATGGCATGCACAAGCCGATCCGGCGACAGCTGAGCAACGGGAGCTGTAGCCCGTACAGTCCGACGGACGATAATTACCACCATCTTCACCACGACCCGCAAATCAACGGGTCCCCGGCAAAGAGGTGCCGACTGCGGATGCGATTGGAATCGGCGAGGAAAAACCGACCACGTAAGTTTACAGCACAGTGTTATTAAAATCACATTAGATTTACACGGTGTGTGGAGTATAAAATGCACTCTGTTAATATTACACACAAGGGATTATTTAACAGTGTTGCAAGAGGAATGATTTAAACAGGCGATTTTGCACAACCCCTATAAATTTAATATTTAGCTGGATTAAAACAAATGTCACTATAATGGTGCATATTAGTAGACAGAAGCTGTAACGTTATTTAAAGACTATGCTTATATTGTAACAATAAGGTATTTAAAATGTTATATAAATGAAAACATTTTTACCTCATAAACTTTGAACTAGAGATCAAAGGTGAGAATGAAATTTGCAATAGGTTCGATTTCTCTGTTTGTTAAGTAAGCTTTTGATGCAATTTTTAAGGGTGAACGTTCCTCAGATTGATTGATTTGTTTATTTAACTGCCTTCAAATATGTGTTGCCAAATCATCAGTCCAAATTAAGTGTCGAGTTTATCAGCCTCACTGTAGTATAGAGGTTAAGTTGGTTTTGCATTCGAATATTCAGACTTTCTCTTTAATAATATAATTTCAGAAAAGTCTGGAAATTCTAAATAGTGAAATCATATTAGCAGCCAATGGCTATCAAGGTACAACACTGTTTACAGTCACTTAAATAGTGCTTATTTTGTTTTGCAAGTCATACTTGCATGCTAGTTCTGACCGAATGTTCAAATTAGCTTGGTAAACAATATAGGGACAGTTCAAGGAACGAATGTGCAAATATAAAACCAACTGTAAGTTAACGTTACCTCAATCACTGTTGTTAAGTGATTAACGTTAGTACTAGAGCAAATTTCGAGTGGAGGTCGAAAGCAATAGTTTATTAAACATGTCAAATAATTCGGACTGATTCATAAGAACTGTTTTGTTTGAACGAATCATTCGTCCGGGAGTCGGGCTCTGGACACACGGCATATGATTCATTAGAATGAATCGAATGAGTCATTTGATCAGAAATCAAACTTGCTGTATGTTTCACTCTCTCGATGTGGTCTTATTGACAAAACAGTGTTTTTCGAATATGAATTAAAATCATTCGTCCCTGCTATTTTGTTTAATCCGGCTCTGGCATTTGCATTGACCAACACAGAAAAAACTGTCATTATAACGTCTGTAAGTGTCTATTGTTTTGGTGAAACCCATGAGACTGTTGTTCTCGCTCTCTGATTGGTCGATGTGAAGTCAGGAGGTGTGCTGGAGTCGCTCATGAAGCAAAGGCTCGACGCCATTCGACCAATCAGCCCGTGGCATTTGTATTCGCGTGGCCGCGTTAAAGGGCCAGACAGAAACGCCCCCACCGTGCAGTATGCAGAAATTCCCCACATTTGTTCACTTTAACAAAACGACTCCAAGAATATAACTTTGAGTGCCTAGTTATAATGCGATTAGAAGCCAAAAGGAACCATTAAATTTTGTCTGCTTTTGTGGGCTGTTGGGTTTGCATCTGAAAGTATTAGATTAGCATCAGCAGGATGAAGTTGAAGTGTTCATGGAAGCCAGGTAAGAAAGCATCATCTCATACTCATGTTAAATGTTATAAGACATCTTAACTTCTTGGTATTAATCTGAAAGTTTCCGATAAAGTTATATTTGCAGAATAATACGCTAACTGTAATGTTGTCAATGCATTAGATGTATTGTATACTGTATTGCTGTTTATGATAATGCAAAAATGCTATTCGACAGATGTCAGGTTTAGAAGATAAGTGAACACTAAAATATACAGAGCTCATAGAGTTTAGCAAGTCTCAGCTGTGTCGGCATGCTAGGCCAGCTTGACAACATTCCCCAGCTCCAGCCGTGTTTTGTTTATGTGGAAACACCTTTGTTGCTGCAACTGTTTTTTATTGTTCCATTATTTGCAGTCAGCCGATTTAAATTGTGATCAAAGGTATTCTTAGAAGATAAAGGCTATTTTGAAATAAACGTTACTTTTTGTTTTATTTAACACGTGTAATGCATCCCAAAATTGTTTCTAATTTCCTCATACAAGGGATGTTTAAACTCAAGTCATATTTTTAACATAGTAAAATCTTAACATATTTATGTTATTTTTATTAGCAACTTTTCATTTAGTCAGTAAATGTGAAATCCATATTTGTGTGTGTGTGTGTGTGTGTGTGTGTGTTTGTTTTTATTACATGGTGGGGACCTCAGCATGATAGCACACTCACAAAGTGGGGACCAAAAACATAGTGGGGACCGATCGCCCGGTCCCCACCATGTTTTGCCTTTAAAAGACTCAGGGGGCGTTGCTGATATGCCTAGTGCAGTTTTTTTCACTGATCCCCACCTTGACCATTTACCTGAATTGAGTGTGTAAGTGTGTGTCGGCGCACTGCTCTATAGCGGTCCTGTAGTCGGATGGCGGTACTGCACCCTGACACACACTTACACACTCTGGCTACTGCACATGCGCAGATCTCATAAATGAATCCGACTTTAATCAACTTAATTAAGATCTATCATCAAATTAATCGAATTTTCGGGTAAGTTATAATGTTTTTCACCATCATAATGTAATGAAATCGGTTTTATGACAAATACTTATGTTGCATCTTTTGACAGTTATCAGGTATAGTTAATTTAATGTTTTAACGAATTTCCTGGGTGTTTTAATCGCTGTTGTTTCAAATTACGTATTAATATAACACTGATAAGACACAAACTACAGTTCGGTATGTAATTTGACTTGTTTACACGAGTAAAAGTTACTCGCGCTAATGTGCTAACGTGCTAACTGCCCGGTGCTACGTGAGTCAGAGGCCGGGGTGGAGTGCATGAGCCGCGGTCAGACAGTCACCAATCACCGTGCGGCTAAATGGATCGACGGAGGATAAAACCATTAAAAGATGCGGAGAAACACATCACCAGCTCCACCGACAAGACCCATTCACTGGAAACCGAATATAAAGAAGGTTACTAAGGTATGTTTTCATAGTTCTTGTATCATACTTTTTAAATGGTTAATTGCTTTAAACATGTAACGTTAATCCTGAAATAACACTATTATATACTATTTATACGTTAATGTAGTGATATAGAGGTTATAATTAAAATGTGGGGCCATCTGGTCCTAGAAATGTACTTAATTTATTGTTCTATGACGTGTAGAAACGATTTATTTTAGATAAATAATTATAATAAACTCCAACTTAGTGTAAAACATATATAAAAGTACATAAATGTTCACTGTGTGTGTTTTATTTATTTATTTGCTGTCAACTGGTAGCCTTTTACAATAAGGTTAAATTAGTTAATGCTGGTTAATGCATTTACTAACATGAACAATGAATAATACTTTATTACAGTATTTGTTCATGTTGTTTAACTTTAGTTAATGAAAATAAAGTTGTTCATTACTAGTTAAACACGCACAATGCATTAATTATTGCAATGCATTATTACTGGTACAAGCATAAATTTAGATTTGAATAATGCATTAGTAAATGTTAAACTATGATTAATAAATGCTGTACATGCATTGTTCATTACTAGGTCATGTTAGTAAGTACATTGACTAATAAAACCTGATTGTAAAGTGTGACCTGTAAACAATTGAAGTGGAAAAAAAGTTCTTTAAAACTGTCCTAAAAAAGAAGAACAGGTGTTCAATAGTATTAGAACAACATTGAGGAAAGGTTCTGATCCACTTCAAAAGGTTTACTGTATTTATAATTCACACACAGAGAGGATGCTAATGTGAGGTTTTTGTAGTTTTTGAACCCTACACGTTTCATTAAATCTTTTAGGTCAGAGTTTGCGTTGTCCACATTTATTAAAGGAAGTTTTGTGGTTGAGTACAAATGATAGAGCTTGTGGAAGCAAAGCATAGATGAGATATTAATAAAAATACTGTCTTTATGTTTGACTTTATATGGTAAAACAAGAACAGGTGGTTAAGTGTTTTCCCCATTCAAATGTACATGTATATATTATATTCATTCTGTTTGTATTCATGCCATAGTTTAGCTTTTCATTGCTATGAGAGGGCATAATTAAAATGTTGCTTGCTCTTTTCTCTTAGTTTTGCAGCATTGATGCCGATCATGAGGACGAGACCCTCGGCCGGCTGGTGAATGATGACCATCTGCACCCTAACTGCACTGTCAATAAGATCGTTGTTCAGAGAAAACCTCATTTGTGCCTTTTTGCAATCAGGGATATTTTCTTTGGAGAGGAAATAACGTTTGACTATGGCGCATGTGATTGGCCTTGGAGAAAGGTTTGACATTTTGATCACTTAATACATTAATCCTTAATACATTCAGCAAAGCTAAGAGTTTTTTAATGTTAATATAGATTAAGGGTAAATCTGTTCAAAAATAAAGAGTTTGCATCATCCATAAGAGATAATGAAATCAATCTCTTAATATCTTCTTCTTGTCTTAATGGGTAAAAAAAAGTTTAATTAATTGGGTAATGCTTTACTTTAAAGGGGGGTTCATAAGACTGTCATGAAAGCTTTATAGTCATGACATGACTTATATAACAAAGCTGTTTTTAAATAGCTTTCATTGAAGGATGCCCATATGACTGCAGAAGAGAACTGCTCTGACAACTCTCTGATGAGGTGTGTTTATTATTATTATTATTATTATTATTATTATTATTATTAGTAGTAGTAGTAGTGAATGTTGTTGCTGTAGTAATGCATTTAATTGTAATTATTTAACTTAGTGTGTGTCCTAATTTATGAACATATGCAATAGTGTAACATTGTGGGGACCAGAGGCATGTTAGAGAAGCTGTGAAACACACTTAGTCCTCAATACACACACAGTACGGTCTGACATAGTGGGGACCGGGAGCCCTGAGTACTACTGTCTAATTATTATTTTTTGTTTTTTATATTCAGCTTTTATTGAAGTATGACCAAATGACGAGAAGAAGAGAACTGCTCTGCTCCAGTAGGAGACCCACAACCCTCTGATGAGGTGGGTTTAAATTTAATAATAATAATTATTATTATTATTATTAGTAGTAGTAGTAGTTGTTGTTGTAGTAGTAGTGCATTTAATTGTAATTATTTAACTTAATCAAAATCTAGAAATGAAACAGAGTGTGTGTCCTAATTGGTGAACGTATGCACGAGTGTAACATTGTGGGGACCAGAGGCATGTTAGAGAAGCTGGGAAACACACTTAGTCCTGAATACACACACAGTAAGGCCTGACATAGTGGGGACCGGGACCCTTGAGTACTACTGTCTAACTAATATATATATATATATATATATATTTTTTTTTTTTTCAGCTTATATTGAAAGTTGACCATATGACAGAGGAAGAGAACTGCTCTGCTCCAGTACGTGACCCACAACTCTGATGAGGTGTGTTTAATGTTGTTGTTATTATTATTATTATTAGTAGTAGTAGTAGTAGTTGTTGTTGTAGTAGTGGTGCGTTTAATTGTAATTATTTATCTTAATCAAAATCTAGAAATGAAACAGAGTGTGTGTCCTAATTGGTGAACCCATGCACTAGTGTAACATTGTGGGGACCAGAGGCATGTTAGAGAAGCTGGGAAACACACTTAGTCCTGAATACACACACAGTACGGTCTGACATAGTGGGGACCGGAACCCTTGAGTACTGCTGTCTAACTAATATAAATTTTTTTATATTCAGCTTTTATTGAAGGATGACCATATGACAGAGGAAGAGAACTGCTCTGCTCCAGTACGAGACTCACAACTCTGATGAGGTGTGTTTATTATTGTTGTTGTTGTTATTATTATTAGTAATAGTAGTAGTAGTAGTAGTAGTAGTAGTAGTAGTAGTAGTAGCAGTAGTAGCAGTAGTAGTTGTTGTAGTAGTGGTGCATTTAATTGTAATTATTTAACTTAATCAAAATCTAGAAATGAAACAGAGTGTGTGTCCTAATGTATGAACATATGCACTAGTGTAACATTGTGGGGACCAGAGGCATGTTAGAGAAGCTGTGAAACACACTTAGTCCTTAATACACACACAGTACGGTCTGACATAGTGGGGACCGGAACCCTTGAGTACTGCTGTCTAACTAATATATATATTTTATATTCAGGTTTGCTGAAGTATGACCATATGACAGAAGGAGAGAACAGCTCTGCTCCAGTACGAGACCCACAACTCTCTTATGAGGTGTGTTTATTAATATTGTTGTTGTTGTTGTTATTATTATTATTAGTAGTAGTTGTTGTTGTAGTAGTAGTGCATTTAATTGTAATTATTTAACTTAATCAAAATATAGAAATGAAACAGAGTGTGTGTCCTAATTTTTGAACGTATGCACTAGTGTAACATTGTGGGGACCAGAGGCATGTTAGAGAAGCTGTAAAATACACTTAGTCCTGAATACACACACAGTACGGTCTGACATAGTGGGGACCGCGACCCTTGAGTACTACTGTCTAACTAATATATATTTTTTATTTTTTTTATTCAGCTTTTATTGAAGGATGACCATATGACAGAGGAAGAGAACTGCTCTGCTCCAGTACGTGACCCACAACTCTGATGAGGTGTGTTTATTATTGTTGTTGTTATTATTATTATTAGTAGTAGTTGTTGTTGTAGTAGTAGTGCATTTAATTGTAATTATTTAACTTAATCAAAATATAGAAATGAAACAGAGTGTGTGTCCTAATTTTTGAATGTATGCACTAGTGTAACATTGTGGGGACCAGAGGCATGTTAGAGAAGCTGTGAAACACACTTAGTCCTGAATACACACACAGTACGGTCTGACATAGTGGGGACCGGAACCCTTGAGTACTGCTGTCTAACTAATATATATATATTTTTTTTTTCAGCTTATATTGAAAGTTGACCATATGACAGAGGAAGAGAACTGCTCTGCTCCAGTACGTGACCCACAACTCTCTGATGAGGTGTGTTTAATGTTGTTGTTATTATTTTTATTAGTAGTAGTAGCAGTTGTTGTTGTTGTAGTAGTGGTGCATTTAATTGTAATTATTTAACTTAATCAAAATATAGAAATGGAACAGAGTGTGTGTCCTAATTTATGAACGTATGCACTAGTGTAACATTGTGGGGACCAGAGGCATGTTAGAGAAGCTGTGAAACACACTTAGTCCTGAATACACACAGTAAGGTCTGACGTTGTGGGGACCGGGACCCTTGAGTACTACTGTCTAACTTATATATATATATATATATATAAAATTAAATTTAATTGTAATTATTTAACTTAATCAAAATATAGAAATGAAACAGAGTGTGTGTCCTAATTGGTGAACATATGCACTGACATTGTGGGGACCAGAGGCATGTTAGAGAAGCTGTTAAACACACTTAGTCCTCAATACACACACAGTAAGGCCTGACATAGTGGGGACCGCGACCCTTGAGTACTGCTGTCTAACTAATATATTTTTTTTTATATTCAGCTTTTATTGAAGGATGACCATATGACAGGGGAAGAGAACTGCTCTGCTCCAGCACGTGACTCACAACTCTGTTATTGCATATCAGATTTAACGAACCATTTACTACGGATTTCATGTAATTTTGATAACTGTCCATTAATCAGATGTCATCACGCTGCTGTGCCGTCAGCCAATCGTTGTATTGCTGATAATGATTTTGAGGATCGATAGATCTGTCACAACACACAGTCACAACACCTCTCAGATCAGTTTAATCTGATTCGCAAACTTTTTTGAAGAACCAAATTAGCCTAAGATGAGTTATCAAGATTAAAAGATCCAGGATCTGTAATATACAGTAATCTTAGATTATTTAAGCGAGGTCCGAAGAACAGACCCCTGGACCCTTGAGTACTACTGTCTAAATTATATATTTCAAAATAAAAATTATAAATTATATATAAAAATATATAAAATAATTTTATATAAAATATTTATAAAATTATATATAAAATATATATTTTTAATTATATACAGTTGAAGTCAGAATTATTAGCCCCTTGTTTATTTCTTGTACTAAATTTCTGTTTAATGGAAAGCAGATTTTTTAAACACATTTCTAATCATAACAGTGTTAATAACTCATCTCTAATAACTGATTTATTTTCTCTTTGCCATGATGACTATAAAAATTATTTGACTAGATATTTTTCAAGACACTTCTATTCAGCTTAAAGTGACATTTAAAGGCTTCACTAAGTTAATTAGGGTAACTAGGCAAGTTATTGGAGGGATAATAATATTGACCTTAAAATGGTTCATAAAAAATTAAAACTGCTTTTATTCTAGCTGAAATAAAACAAATAAGACTTTCTCCAGAAGAAAAAAATATTATCAGACATACTATGAAAAAATTCTCTGCTCTGTTACACATCATTTGGGAAATATTTGTAAAAGAGTTTTAAAAAGGTGGGTTGACTTCAACTGTATATACTTTCATATATATATATATATATATATATATATATATATATATATATATATATATATATATATATATATATATATATATATATATACACAGTTGAAGTCAAAATTATTAGACCCCTTGGAATTTTTCTCTTCTTTTTTAAATATATCCTAAATGATGTTTAACAGAGCAAGGAAATTTTAACAGTATGTCTGATAATATTTTTTTCTTCTGGAAAAAGTCTTATTTGTTTTATTTTGACTAGAATAAAAACAGTTTAAATTTTTTTAAACACCATTTAAGGGACAAAATTATTAGCCTCTTTAAGCTATATTTTTTTCTCGATACTCTACAGAACAAACCATCATTATACAATAACTTGACTAATTACCCTAACCTGCCTAGTTAACCTAATTACCCTAGTTAAGCCTTTAAATTTCACTTTAAGCTGTATAGAAGTGTCTTAAAGAATATCTAGTCTAATATTATTTACTGTCATCATGGCAAAGAGAAAATAAGTCCATTATTAGAAATGATTATTAGAAATAGTTATTAAAACTATTATGTTTAGAAATGTGTTGAAAAAAATCTTCTCTCCGTTAAACAGAAATTGGGGAAATAATAAACAAGCTGTCTAATAATTCAGGGGGGCTAATAATTCTGACTTCAACTGTATATGAAGAGTTTCATTGCAGAACGAGATATATCCATTTAAAAAAATTTTGGTTATTTTGACATTATTTTTCATGACATTAACAGTCAAGTTCATTCACAATTTTTGTACATTAAACTATAACTTGATATAGTGAAGGCCAGGAACACAATATTTTCAAATCCAGGATATTTTTTATTTAATTTTATGTCTATAATTAAAGGGCCATGAAACCCCCTCGTTTCAGCAGGGTGTTTTCACACCTCTACTTTGGAAAAAGTCAGAAAAGCGGGCGTGTCCAGCTCTGTTTAGGGGGGAGTGTCGGAGGAACTAAAGTGGGAGGGTGTGGGAGTGTCTATTTGGGCACGCGCGAGTTTCAGTCAAAATACTCACACGAGAAAGTGATGGTGTATTTTTTACAGTCATTGTGTTTAACCTACATGGACATCTGTAGTTGAATTATTTGCCAGATTATTAAATGTTGGACTTTAACTGCAGTTTGGCTCTTTCATTCAGGGAATTCATTCATGCCCCTCGCGACACACGAGATATTTGATACGAGGAACTGATCTAAGCGTGTATTTTTCATGCAATGTTTGATACCGCACGGCGAATGAGAGAAAAAAGCTCCGCAATTCCCGGAAACTTAGATGCACTCGGCAGGTAGCGTCAGAAAGCCGCGTGTGTTATTCCGGTCACAAAATGCGGTGCTAACAAGTTTGCACTCAGTGCAATAGTTAACTTAATTCGACACGAACAAACTGAATAAACAAAGAGCACTGGTCGCTCACTTACCAAATCTGTAGAGACAGGACAATCACCAGCAACTAGAGCCGCGTCTTTATGAAGAGAAAACTACAAGCAAATCCGGATTTCAGCGTTAGCAGATGAGAACAGCTCTCAGGTAAACAATAATCCTCCTTAGACACGCAAGTTATTGTTGTCGAGCGTCGCGTACACTGTTAATCCACACGTGAGTCTGAGCTCTCACAGAGAGAAAAGGAAAACGAAACTTAACTGCAGCAAACTATAAAAGCAACACTTCACGCTTGTTTTGCCAACCAAACGTGGCGTCTCTGGTGTAAAAAGTGACACTAATGAATATTAATGAAGTTGCAAAATAGAGCGCGCTGATTGGTTTGAACCAAGCCTTACTCATGCATTAATGCATCACACTGTAAGATGTAATAAGGCACACTCTGGCACAGACGTCCAGTCTGCACGCTGGAATACACGCTATTATGTCATGACCGTGACGCAGCTTCAAAAATTTGTTTCAAACAGGAAGTACGAATTTGCTTGAAATAACGCAAAAACAACCAATTTACACTTTTTAGTGAAATATAGGTGTCCTAATAGTGTTTTTAGCAGTGTGGGACACATATACGACTGTCAACAGCTCAACACATGTGTTCTGGTGTTTCGTGACCCTTTAAGTAAAAAAACATGCCAAAATGCTACATATTAATCCAACCCACATTGTCAAACATCTTAAATTGGTTTAAAAAAAACTATACACCATAAATATATGGAATAATATATGCAAAGATTGATTAATAATAATAAGATTCTAAGTTAGATTTGGCCAGAATGTACACAACATAACATAACTTTATTTTTTTTTTTGCAAAACGCTACATCCACCTTAGGCTATATTATACTACATTAATACCATTACCAAAAGCAAGTGAATCAATGTTTTGTTTGATAAGTAAGATTAAGTTAGTTAGATAAATGACCTTTAGCTTGGTACAGAAAGAGTGGGGGGCGGCTCCTTCCACACCGCTACAGAAAACCAAACCTGTATGATTAGAGCGGGCGGAGCTGAGTCTGTGACACAAACTTGCCTCGCTATGTCATATTTAATGAATTATTTCACTGTAATAATAATAATAGCTTATTTATTTGGTTGTGAAAAAGCTAAACCGTTTTCTCCATAACAACATGTGCCCTTTAAGTTCCTTTATAATAAATCAACAACAACAAGAATTAATTATAAATAATAGGTGCAACCGCATAAATAAATCTTCAGATAGGCTACTCAGCTACATGTAAGAAATTATTTAAAAAATAAACTTATAAAGGACACTTAGAAATGTCGCCTTGCAGACAGGTATCTTGTGATGGGGAGTAGGAAAAAAGGCGCTCCTAGGCCTTCTCTTGACATCAGCGGAGACTCGTTCCCTGCTGCATTTGTGTATTGTTGACGCAGAAGTATCTTATTCTGGTCCACTTTTGTGGCCTTTTTATACATTTTTGTGATCTTCTATCGCTAAATCAATGAGCAAACTCTGAGCACTTCACCGGCGATGACTCTCTTCCCAGGGGATGCTGAGCTCGCGCCGCATCCTGAACGCTCTCTAACTGTTATATCGCACTTTGTAAAGAAACTGGTCTGACGGATATTGCGTTTTGTAAAAAAAATAAGTTTTGTACTTGGCCTAAAATGTGCATTCTTAAATGTTATTAATGGCAGCAATTCACACATAGATTAAGGTACATCTGAACAGTGATTTCCAATAATAAAATCCAAATGTCAAAAAATGCCGTTTATCGCATTTTGCAACCTAACTCTTCATATGTATGTGAGTTATGACTGTATGACTGCAGAAGAGAACTGCTCTGTTCCCACAACTCAGTTTTTCTGGGACTTGAAAACAGACGCTCAGCAGATTTTAAAGGGTGGAATCTTGATCAAATCGTGGGTTTACACACAAACATGTAGTACAGTGCCAGATTTTCTGGATGTTATATACACATTTGTATTTGCAAACATATATCATATTGTTTTAAATGATGTATTTTTGTGTGGGTTTTTACATTCAGAGAAAGTTACAGTGGATCGTGATTTTGGAGGAGGTGAAGTCCAATCTAAAAGGTAAAAATATTATTTATTTTTCTGATCAGAATTTTTCTTTTTCAGAATGTTTATTTTTATCATGATATGTATGTGCTGTGTTTGAAAACTATTTTTAAGCTACCATCACACACTTTTACCCATTAAAAAAATAACACAAAATCAAATAAATAATTTGGTAAACTTTATGCAGAGAAGTCAACTCTCAGACTTGATTTTTACTTTCAGAGTCCCCTCAAGTATCATCACCATGGTACAGTGTCTGTGAAGATAGTGATGCAGACCCAGCATTCACAAAAAAGAGAGGTATGATCATTAAAGTTAATTTGTGACTGACTTGTGTTATTGTACAAGTCCAAATGCACAAGCTCATTTACATAACATGTAGGGTAAAACAGGACAGAAGCACATTACTTCCATGATGACACTTGATGTCTCATTTCATGTTAGTTAAACAATATTGCTAAATACTTTGGAAAAATATACTAATTGCATATCTGGTTACACTTTATTTTGATAATTTACTTTACTACTACTACTACTACTACTACTACTAACTACAAATAACTGCAACTACTTGTCAACTAACAGCCATTAGACTGTCTGTTAAAATCAACACTGCTAATGCTCTACTAAATTTATATAAGAGTTAGTCATATTGTACTAATTTAAAGCGTAACCTAACAGTCTGCTGTACTATTTACAGAGACCAATGAGAGTTGGTTTTATTGAGGTAACCTTAACTGTCAGCTAATACTCTACACTCTAAAAGTAATAAAAATAAGTAATAATAATTAAATTAGCAGTTTTTCATAATTTGTGATTCATGTTTTTATGAAATCTGTTTGTTTCTGCTTTTGAATTGCATTATGGGATCTTGATCTTTCTTCCAACAACTTTTAATCTTAAAAAGTAAAAAAAAGTTACTTTTTGTTTGGGTTGGTGTTGTAAATTATGCTACAGAAACCTTGTAATAAACTGCTGGTACATTTTCTGTTATTCTAAAGACTTATTTATCTCTATATATTATTTCTTATACATTACATTATTTCAAACTACTAAAATGTCAGTTAAAGTCACTTTGTTAAACTGTAGAGTTGAATTTTCAACATCAAAAGTGCACAGAGCAGAGATCAACATCCCATAATGCAATTCACCACCACAAAAAAAAAAAAAACAATTGTAAATCACAAAATACAGGAACTGGTAATTGACAGATATGTGTTACAGTGTAGTGTTTTGAGCTAAACTTGAGCTAACAGTCTGCTAATACTCTACTGATAATCAGATGAGCATTAGTCTTATTGATCATTCTAACAGTATGCAAATACTCTAATACATAATACTTTACGGTGAGATAATTAACGTAGTTGCAGAGTTACGCATAGTTAGAAGAATGTCTAAACTGGACTATGGAATAAAGTGTAACCCCATTAACCAGATTTGAAGTTATTAGGAAGTATTTTTAATCCATCTCCATCTTAAGTATTTTTAATAATAGGCAAGACACATTTTTCTAGCATTTTCTATCACAATATTAAACTAACATAACAGCACATGTTGTAAAAATGACTGAACATTTATGCAACTAAAACCACTTTTTTATATTTTAACCACCCATAGGTCCCATAAAGAGAAGATCCTGGAGCAAACAGGAAGTACATGCTGTGGTGAAAGCTGAACCATTGGCTCTAAAAACCAGAGATTGGTCAGCTTTGGATTTTTATATTAAAAACTGAATCTCGACTCTTTAGAAAAAAAAATCTGAATAACACTTTCATAGTAACTACACACTATACATCATTAGTTTAGCACTAACTCTACATTAATAGACTTTAGGAAGCAGTTTATAAATACAGCTTCAAACACTGTATTCTTGACTTGACTTAATTGTATTTTCATGCTTTGTTACTGATTCATTTTTCATTACTACATTATGTATTGCATTATTTACAAACTATTTGTATATAAGAGTAGTTTGTGGTTTTTAAGATAATTCAGAATGAGTTATTAAATGATTAATAAACTATTCAAATGAACATTTATACATGTTATATTCAGGCATATAGTAATTGTAACCATGTGTGTTAGTAAATGCTATAATAACACAACTTCATGCAGTTTTGTGACCTAATCTATTAAGGACTGTTTATAGTTGATAAATCCCTTATAAATGACAATTTAAGGCTCAGTATCTAATGAACAATAAATCTTTGCAATCTTATTAAAAAAAATCTGTAAAGTTTAAACATTGCAAAATAAAAATACAACATCATTTCAAAACAACATAATTAGCAATATGGCAATATTCATTTCAGTGTTTCTGTGATGTTTGCACTGTACAGTAATTTTAGATTTTGATTAGATTGCAAAGATTTATTTTTCATTAGTTGCATTTGTGTTTCTTGAAATTAATGAAAAAAAAAAAATATATATATATATATATATATATATATATATATATATATCTTCTTTGGCCTTAGTCCCGTATGATTGCGGGGTCGGCTCTTTTTGGAACAAGTCCTTCAGTTTTAGACTTGTCCATATGATAACGACTTTTTTACACCTTCCGGCCAGCCTGTCATATGGGCCTGTCACACTCATACACTAGGGACAATTTAGCCTTCCCAATTCACCTGTAGCATGTCTTTGGACTGTGCCTATGCACCCGGAGGAAACCCACACGAATGCAGGGAGAACATGCAAACTTCTCACAGAAATGCCAACTGAGCCGAGGTTCAAACCAGTGACCCAGCGACCTTCTTGCTGTGAGGCGACAGCACTACCTACCGCGCCACTGCTTCATCATATATATATATATATATATATATATATATATTTAAAGCTATGAATCACTCTCCCTTTTAATTTATTTCTTTTTTCTGTTTAGAATATAGCTGAGATTTTAATTGTCATTTATAAGGGATTTATAAAGCACTAATAGTCCTCACTGTAGATTAGCTCACAAAACTGCATGAAGTTGAGTTTATAAAGCATTTATTATCAGACAGAGTAACCATTACTATATGCCTGATTAATAAGATATATAAATGTTGGGTAACACTATAATAACTGCACACAATGAATTATTTATGAAACATTAGCAAATAGTTAGTTGAACGTTTGTTAAGCATTAACGTTACATTAATAGACATTAGTAAGCAGTTTATAAATTATACTTATAAATATAAATTACAAATATTATTGACTTAAAAGCACAATTATAATGTGCTTAATGATTGTTTTCATACTTGGTAAATAATGCAATACTTAATTTAGTAATGAAAAGTACATCATTAAAAAACCAGATATTTAAAAGTAGTTGGTTTTTTTTTTTTTAGATAATTCAGAATGTGCAAGTAAATGATTTATAAACTATTCAAAATAACATTGATAATTCTTATTATTCAGGCATATAATAAGTTGTTTAGTATGTTAATAAATGCTTTATGAACTCAACTTCATGCAGTTTTGTGATCTAATCTAAAGCGAGGGCTATTCATGCTTTATAAATCCATTATAAATTACAATATAAGGCTCAGTTACATTATATACAGAAAAAATGACTATTAATTTCTAATTATTACAAGATGCTCAAATAAAACTGTATCAAATGAAAAGTAATTCATTGCAATCTTGTCTAAATATAAAATTGCTTTACACGTAATGTATTGTTAAATTATTATATTGTTGTTTTATCAAATTATGTTGTATTTCGACACTCCTGTTATTCAGCAATGTTTAAAATTTAAAGTAATTGTATTTGTTTAGGTACGATTGCAAATACTTATTGTTTATTTGATACTGAGCCTGGCAACGCAGTGGCACAGTAGGTAGTGCTGTCACCTCACAGCAAGAAGGTCGCTGGTTCGAGCCCTGGCTGGGTCAGTTGGCATTTCTGTGTAAAGTTTGCATGTTCTCCCTGTGTTGGTGTGGGTTTCCTCCAGGTGCTCCTACATGCGGTACAGGTGAATTGGGTAGCCTAAAATAGTCCGTAGTAAATGAGCGTGAATGAGTGTGTATGTGTATGGATGTGTCCCAGGGATGGGTTGCAGCTGGAAGGGCATCCGCTGCATAAAAACGTGCTGGATAAGTTGGTGGTTCAATCCGCTGTTGCGACCCCGGATTAATAAAGAGAGAAAACCAAAATGAAAATAAATGAATAAATGAATGATTCTGAGCCTTTAATTGTCATTTATAAGGGATTTATAAAGCATCAATATTCCTCACTTTAGATTAGATCACAAAACTGCATGAAGTTGAGTTAATAAAGCATTATTTAACATGCAGAAAAACGTATTATATGCAGGGCTCCAAACCGGTTCAAGGAACGGAAACGAAAAACAGAATCAAATGACATTTTTCGGGAACAGAAACGAAAACCGAAAAAAAAAGATCAACTTTAATCGTTCTGAACAGAAACGTTTACAGTTAAACGGTTAATAATGTTATTTTATTGTTCTTTTTATTATATGAATTTGAGAGACAAAAAGCATCAATTTAAAGCATGTGAACAAATGCGACGGTGACGCTCGTTTTTATATAAACTATAAATGTCTGGCCGTGATGCGTATTTAGGCCTATGCCAGTCTATAAAAAGATAATGTAGCTTAAAACACTTTAAAATTTTAGAGAACGTAATACAGTTTGCACAACCAATGTTTGGTCTTAATAACCTGCCCATAATTAAACGTCATGTAGCCTACTTTTTGATTACTTGACCAGCGGATTAATGGCAGCACCAGCGGATAAACGAGATCTGAGCATAATAGGTATGACCAATATGTGCATAACCAATATGCAAAGTCAAGAGAGTGCACGACTCCATAGGGTAACGTAGCCTAAACTGCGCACACTTGATTATGTAATGTGTGAAATTGTGGACGCATCTCAAAGAGCAAAGCATAACTTATTAAATGCCCATGCTTAATCGGTCATCGATAAGGTCTATCGGTTTTAAAGGGTTACCGACAATAAATCAATTGAGTGATCGTTAGCATCCCTAGGTTAATCAATGAATGTGTTAAATTTAATATTTATATTAAAGATGAATAAGGCAAGAATATGATAATGATACTTTTAAGATTTTTACACCTACAAAAATATCTTGTGGTAGTGCACTTGTTTAATAAAAATCTTTGTAAATAGGTTATCTGTAAAAAACGCAATCAGAGCCAATGACATGTAGAAGTAGTGTTGCCTAAACGGCTATTAAATTTCTAATAAAATTCAAACCAAAGTATAACTTATTGCATTTTTCGTTTGATAAAAATATACAGAAACGAAATAAAATCATAAGGATGCTAGTTTGTAATTTATGTTAATAATAATAAAATGACATGCTTAGACTATAAGCTTAACGGCTATACGCTGCCAATAGGCCATTAATAAATATTATTTTACTTTGTACTTTATTATAATATATATTTTACAATAAAAACTAAATATAGCATGTCTTACTGTCATTTAAAACAAGTCATTCAAAATACACATCAGAACTGTAGACCTGCAGTGTGTAAACTGTATACAGGGGGTGTTGGTCAATCAATAGCCTACAGCACATAATTGAACTAATTATGATGCTAACTGTAATTTAGCTCTTAATATAGGCCTACGATATATTTTCTGGTGTTTAATTTTGCATGAGTAAATAGCAGTATAGCCTAAAGTAAATTTTTAAAAAAGATTATCATTTACCCTACCTGCAGCACAAGTGAGAGGTGGATCAGCAGCAAATTCACTTACACACTAGGCTATATCTATTTAATTTATAACAATGTAAACTTGACTTCGCAGGCCGTTCATCTTTGAACGCAAAAGGCATTTTTAAGTGTCCTAACTTGACTGCTGCTGCATAATGTGATGTTTCTTTACAAAACTGTAAAAGTGCGCTTTAGCATGTCAAAATGAAAGCAAACATTCAAAAGAGTTCTGTGTTTTGTCAATTTTACTTATATTAATAATAATGGATATAATAAATTTAAATAATAATTGCACTGTGCAGTGTACTAAATATTTTTATTAGGCTACATAACTGAAAAACCATTTCATAACAATTTTCATAATTTAATTGCTATTTCATATTATACAACATCTAAATGTAGCGCCGGGCCTGCGCTCGATACCAAGGAGTGGGGCTGTGTGTAGCACCTTTAAACAGCGTGTCAATCAATAACCAAAAGCAAGTTCATATTATAAATATGTCTTTAATGATACTTATTGAAAATTCATTTAATCTTACCCCTCGTATAGATTTTTTAGTTGCACCATTAAAAAAACACTAGAGCCCTGCAATACTTTGTAATTAAATAAAGTTTTTTTTTTTTTCTAGAAAACTGTTTTCGGAATATTTTGTCTATTAAGCAACGCAAGAACAGAACCGAAAAAATATAAATTCTGCTTAGAGTGAACCGATTGGATTTTCTTTTTTTTTCTTCTTTTTTTTTTTACCCCTGATTATATGCCTGAATAGTAAATGTATAAATGTTAATTTATATAGTTTTTTAATCATTTATTTACTCATTCTTAATGATCTTAAAAAACACCAATTATTCTTAGACAGTTTGTAAATAATGCAATACTTCATTTAGTAATGAAAAATGAATTATAAACAAAGTATGAAAACACAAAAATTGAGCACATTACACATGCTTATACAGTAAGTCAACAATAGAGCATCTAGCTGTGTTTATAAACTGCTTACTATTAATGTAGAGTTAATGCTTAACAAATGATGTCTATTTGGAGTTTTGGTG